TTTGCGTACATTGTATACATTTTTATTTAGTATATTACATTAAAATGTTTACAAAATCAATTTTTTTAAATTTTTAATCGAAACTCCTCCCCCCATCCTCTTATATTCATTCAATGTCACGAGTAAACACTTGTTTAACTTCTCTGAATTCAAAACCCTGATTTGAACTCAAGAAAAATGTTGTTTGTTAAATATAGGTACGTATTTTTTGGATGGGCCGGATACATTTCAATCTTCCGGCCTGAATTCGGTTCCCACTCCACCGCTGATTTAATTTGAATATTTCATAGATCCCCAAACCGGAATCCGTACCCAACCGTCAAAGGATTCGATTTTTGACATTTTTGTTTTTCGATGTCACAGAATAAGTATCCTCTTGTCATGGTTAATATTTAATAAAGTTTTTTTAATTATCCCCCCTCCCTCCAAAAAAAAAAAAAATAAAATAAAAATAAACGACAAAAGATTTAACGGTTCGCGTTATAATAACACGATAACACTTTAATCGAACGCGAATCGAGAAATTATACGGTATCTTGTTTAAGCTACAGCATCGCTGCAAAAGAAAAAAAAACATTTACGTCATTCAACGAATCTCCGGAAAACAACCGGATGACATATTATACAAAGTGGCTAGACTATAGAGTGGCATCTTATTCTAAAAAGTTTTCATAACACAAACTTCGCGGTACACTCAAAACCGTTACGCGTGTTTTATTTGAGTGATTGATCTTGACGTTTTTCGCCAGGAAACAAGTGCATGGCACGCGGTTCCAACGGAAAGACGCGGCTTTATCTGTATTATTTTGTCATGTGATTGTAAACAATACCGAACGACGACTTTGTGACTTTTAAAAACAGAAAAGAAAAATGTTTCTGTTTTTTGTGCGTCCGTGAACAACTTTTCGACCAAGAATCTTGCTCCGACTTTCGTCCACTGACTTCACGGACCTAACCAAATCCTCATCACCGGCGATTTTCGGTTTTAAATTACGTCTAGTTGGTGCATTGTGAGGTTAATTTTTTTTTTATGACTATCCATATTGTATTATTTTTAATAATCGGTAGAAAACCGGGTAAAAAAGGAATATTTTGCGGAACAAAGGATTTTGTTAAAATCGATTTCGTTTTTCTTTTTTTTGTAATCGTAATGTTTTTTTAAATTCGTTATAGAATTTGTTTAACGTTAATCGCAAATCGCAGAGAGTCGTAGAAAAAAAAATGTTCGATTGTTATAATGTAGGTAGTATTTTTTTTTTTCAATGAAAACGTAAAAACATATACCACCCCGGCGTCCCACGCGATCCACTTAAAACAAATTGTGTAGAACTATGCTGAAACTAAACAAGGTCTTCCGTCCCCCTGGGTACGTATCGCGAGGTGGTGCTGCACTATACAAGTAAGTTTGTACATAGAACTTGACTGGGTATAACTATGCGTATACCTATTTATTGTTGTATGTTTTATAAAATGTCAATATCAAACACGGTAAAATAATTTGATCGAACGCTTGCCGAATTTCAAACATCAATAATTTAGATAATGTTCTAAAATATTAGAAATTCGACGTACGTAAAATGTTTCACCATAACCATAAGGATTAAAGGATTAATGGAAAAATGCATACAGTACGCATTTGGCTATAACTTGTGACGTCACAAAGTTATTCTGGCCCGCAGCTGAAAATATTGTGATCGATTTGAAAAAAGATGAAGTACGAAGTACCTAACCAACAGAGCGTAATAATAATCGCGTCTATTCGTTTGTAGCCGACCTGGTAGCAACTTACAGGACTGTTTAACATATTCGTTCAGTATTATAAAAACTACTTTTAAAAAGTATTTAAGCAATTGCTCGAATACGTTTGAAATAAAGTATATAAAGTACTTTTTAGCAATATTTGAAATAATCTTCAAATACAAAAACAAAAATTCGATTTATAATTCTAAAATTATTTATTTTAATCAAAAATTTGATTTATTCATTTAAAAAACATGATTTGTTCAAAACGTTGGTCAGTCGTGTTAGTTCTTTTTCTAGTCGTAATTGCACCGTCAACGCTCTCACTACAGACGCGTTGCTATTAGTAGTGGAGCGTTGTACTTCACAAACAATTTGATTTAACCATGAATAAAAAACAGACATCGAATGGTCCACAAATGATTGATATGCAATACCTATTATTTAATATAATTGTTATGTCGTTGAAGCACGATCACGGTGGCACAGTATTTTTTATTTAACAAGGGTTACAAATAGAAACAAGTTTAGAACCAAAGAAATAATATTTAATAGTAAAAATCCATTAACGGCCGTGCGCTGCCATACGGCACCGTACATAAGACTTTTTGGCCATTTTATATTACTCGTATCTTTCCATTATCTTCACTCCAATAGAATTTATTTAAAAAATAGTTTTTTTTTTTTTAATTCGCGTTAATTTATCCTATTCCGACGCCCTTCCCTCTAATAATGAAGTACTAATCAAACAATAGTAATATCAGTCTCGTTCTTCAAGCCGGTTTGAACATTTAAAGATCTATGGGTTTATAATCATAATGGTTGAGGTGTAATAAATCTATGTTAATAATTCATGAAATAGGAAAAAAAAAATACTTATATTTTGATTACACTTTCATATCGCCAAAAAAAACTTCGACGTGAATGGATTAAAATACCGTTCAAATATTATTAGAATAAAAATAAATTTAAAAAGTAGTTAATACTGAAAAAAGTAATTGAATTCTTTTACTGAAATACTTTGCGACCCGCTCAAAACAAGTAGCGAGTCGGATGTTTGTCATGTGGATTATCGCCGCGTACCCTAAAGCCTAGCAAAGAACTCTGTCCAATGTGCAGTTACCTGCTACACTCAGACGCGAATTGTGTTCATCTAATTTTCCAACGGAATACTCGCATTAGGTATATTATCGCTACAAACACGGTTCAAGTCGGTTTCACAAGACTTCGTCAATTGCAATTGTGTCGAGCACACCTAATACGCGTCGAGGTATTTTGCGGTTGACGTTTGACCGAAAATGTTCTTTTATTCGCGCGTTCGTAACTACGATTCGTCGTAAAGCTATATGGTTTGAGTTCCGAACAAACGGAATTAATGCATTAAACCGACCGTTGAAAGTGAAAATTAAAATCGAATAGTTTATTTTCGGAAACATTAAAAATCCGCAGTTGTTCCAAACTGTACTAACTGATCGTCCGATTGTTTGGACTGATTTCCAATCGCAACCGGCCGGAGGACGACGCGGCGGGGTATGGTTTGTTAAACATCTGCGAAATAAAATATTCGCGTAAACACAGGCCGCGTTATTTTTTTATTACTGCGTATGGCCTTCATAACGCGTTCGGAATCAAAAACGATAATATTCGTTAAATTATTGTTTTATAATATTATATGCAACGCGCAAAATCTTAAACGGAGAGAGACGATATTTTATCGAGTTGGACGGACGCCAAAAGTGTATTGTAACACCTATAACACAGGGTCTCTCATAGTGTTGTTCTTATGCCAATAACTCTGTCGATATTCACTTTTTTTTTTTTCAATCGAGTTTTTATGCGTAGGAGACACATGTAGAGAGAAGTTAAACATTTTTTTTTTTTGTTCGTCTTTTAATCGTTGAAAAAAATTCACATTATTTGTCTACTATTTGAAATGTTCAAAATAGCCGTTTTGTAAAATATATATTTATTTTTATTTTTGAGAGTTAATGGTTTTCAAGTCCATTTTCTAGAAATTAAAACGGCTATTACTGAAGAACTGTTGATCAGATACGAATGTTTATAGCGATATTAAAATGTTTAAAATAACATACTTTAAAAAATGGCTACATTTTAAAAATTTCGAAAAGTGAAAAATAAAAAATTATTATTATTATTTTTTTTTTTTATTAATCAAGGGATAATGAAAATAAAAATTTAAATTTTTCTCTACGTAACCACGCGTGCCTCGTGGTACAAAACTCGATGGAAAAAAAATATCCTTTTTTTTTTTTATCGTTTATCGATACGCCGACAGTTATTCGCTCAACCGTGTCGATTATTGTCATCAATCGTGAAGTTTAGAAACCGGTTTTAACTATTTGAGAACGGTGAATAGTTACGAGTTCTGAAAAGTCGGTGTTACAATAAAAGTTGGAAATTAAAAAAGAAAATCGAGTCTCGGATATTTCGGACGTTTCACCGTGAAGCGGCGGTCAGGCCGACTCCGCACGCGTGTTAATATTTCGCGCGCATCGCGAACCGGAATCCGGCGCGATACCGTCCGTGAAAATCCGAACTGAAAGCGACGCGGCGCGGCTGTGTGACCACGCGACAATATTGTCCGGGCGCCGTAATTCATACGCGAGTGTCGACGAAACGCGCCGCGTTCGCGTTTGTTGCGCGCGTTCCGGTCGGATCGGCGGGTTTCGCATCGATCAAAACGGCGTAACACGGCACGACACAATTTGCGTATCGGCGGTGCACGCGGAACACATAACACCCCGGATTCAATTAACGTCGGCGATAAGTGCGCCATAATTGATTCCGTACGCGCGATTAATAAAACGTTCGGGATCAATACGTCCCCCTCCCTTTTCCTCTTCCTACCGCCACTCGCGTTTCGACGTCGAACCGCGGAACGACACCGGCGAAACCCATTGAACTCGTGCGCTCGACGTCGTCGCCGTCGTATTGTTACGCGCGTACGGTGCGCCGTGCGCAATCATAATGACAACTCTCAAGTCGCGTATGCTCCCGGACCCCCGACTTCGCTACTCAAGCGCTCCCCCAGATTCCAGTGTACCACTTCAAATACCTGCGGTTTTAACGGTGCAGTTTTATTTTTTCCAAGATTTCACGATCTGTTCGTAACACGAATACAGGACGTTTTTCCAAATCTCTACAGGCTAATGCATAAACCAAATACAGAAACACGCGAGCGTAGTTTTTCTATTATGCGAAAATTTAAAAAAAAAAAAATGCCTGAGAAGTACCTACACAGTATATGATACAGCGATGGTTTACCAACTTAATAGTATAGAGACTTAACGAATAAAACGAATGGCTCGGGAGAAATATTGAACGAATTCGCTTCCCCAGATTGAAAATTATTTTTAACAATGTAATGTCACACAACAATAGAATAATTAAAAAGAAAATGTGCTGAAATTGTCAATGCGTTATATTGGGGAGTGTGAGAGCGGTGCCTTTCGTGGCTATGTGAGTTTCATAATTTTAGCACTCACCCCCCTACCCCCCAAAAAAAAAATTTAGACTCTAATTGCACTGCTCTGTCCGACAAACTTACCGGGGTAGAGTACCGGCGATTTTTCGGCGGGCCCTTCTCGTACAAGGCCGTCGATTTACGCGCCTTTTCCCACTTCTATTTCCTTGAATTACCCGTTTTAGCTTCGCGATGAATTCTCAGGCAGGTAGGTGCACATCGGTGCCACTGATAATAGTAAAATTATACTGTCGGGCTGCGACAACTTGCACGGGGTTTATAAGCCGCGGACGATAATAGAAGGAAGTGAGAACGTAACGATCGTACGATTCGTATCAGATTTTACTATAAGAAATGGTCGATACCAGTGTTGAGCACTAAATCCGGATTGAAACAAACAAAACAATCTGTTTAACCCGGACTGTTACCTTCAATCCGGACTATACAGTGTTTGCAAACAATTATTATTTTATTCAATTTATAATTATTGTTTTCTTATATCTGAATCTATTTCGAAAATTCTTTAATTACCCACAAAATGTGTATTCCTTTAAGTTACTATACTCGAGTTTCTCTGGACTACGAGTTCAGAAATTGTGAATAACTCAGAAACCCTAGCATATTTGTGGTTATAGGGGTCATGTCGCATTTAATGGATTGTCGATAGACCCGAAATCGCATATTCGTATACTGTATAGAATGTGTACGTACTGTAGATAAAAATGAAAACATAGCTGATCGTCTCGAAAAAAGCGAAGACGGATTGGATCTAAAATCGAGACGATCTCTGTTGCTATAGCGGGTACCCTGCGCCAGCCTGTGAGCGCTAAACGAAAGAACGTGGGGTGTGTATGGGGGGCGTCCATTTGCGCGTAAAAAATCGAAAATCCGTAAAGTCGTTTCGTCGATAGATTGTTGCAATAATGTTACGCCGTCGCGATTGTAATACCAAAATATTTAATATCGCGACGTCTCTGCTGCGAGGACTCGATTCCCTTTTCTGTGTTGAGCGCGTCGAACGATCGTATTGTCGCGTTCAAATTGAATTTCACCGAAACACGGATTATGGTAATATTATTATTATTATTATTATTATTATTATTATTATTATTGTGTGTAGGCGTATTACTTATATATGCCGAAACACACCGGTCGATACACGGTGGCTCGGCGGCGGCAACTGTTATTACAATACGGTACCCGCGCCGCCGCCGCCGCCGCGCGATTCGCAGCAGACGCTAACGACTCGACGTCCATTAGATATCCGCACGTCCCGGTAACCGTTTGTAATCCGGTTAGGTCACGTCCCGGTAACCGGATTACAAACGGTTACCGGGTTAGCGGTATAACGCCCGTGTACACACAGGTACCTAACCACCGCCGTGTAATAAAGCGCACGGGAATCCGCCGCGCGAACGGACTGTGTGGCGTAGTGGTAGGCGTCAATCAACGGTCCCGGCGACCGCGTCGCCGTTGTAATTTACTTGGGACCGTTCCAGAAAACGTAAATACTCACGGCGGCGTTAGGATACGCGCGCAAGTATAGGCGGAGATACGCACGGTGCTCGAACGTTTCCAGCCCGAAGAGCGCGACGGTCGCGTCACCATAAAACGTCATCGTTTCTGAGAGCCGTTACCGAACCGCTACCGATTTAATAGAAATAAATCACCGGATCGACTGAGAGCCGGCGGTCGACTACGAAAATGGATAATTTTTCGACATTCCCAAACACCACGGTAAAAGCGTCCGACAGCAGCGATAATCGACTTTGTGTAAAATACAGTTCAAAACCTGGCCGTTTTTCCCGCCCGCAGTGTTCCGATACGGTTTTGTAAAATGTTTAGGTAATTGGGCCGGAAATGCGCTCTTTTTGAACGCCCGACACAATTAAGTATCGTCAACAGCCTATAGTAAGATCCGTCGCAAAGTGCATCGTCGTGAATACTGCGCGAACCCCTGTACTAATGCGGGCGAGTGAAAAACCCGTAGGAAACCAAGAAATTAATAACAAAACAAACGGACAAAACAATAAGATTTTGAAATGCAAATTTTAGTGCCGAAACTATGTGCAGTGGATAAAACCACGGCCTATCTAGTCAACGGTTGACGGAAATCAAAAATGTCAACATAAACATTTATTTTAACTAATCCGCGGTCCGCCATAATATTATAGTTATGGCGTTTTTAATGAAAGGTTACCGTATGAAGATCAAAAGGCAGTGGTTTGACCCCCGAAAATAAGGGTGACAAAAAAAAAATGACATAAACGTAAAATTGTAGAGCGGCTCGTTTAATAAATGTTCCGAAAAAAAGTTAATACTTTCCGAAATAACGAGTGTCTTACAACAGATCGATCGCTCTGTATACAGATGGATAAAATAATAAAAAAAAAACTGAGCACTGCAGTGTCCGTCAGCGTTGAAAAATTACAGAAATATACCGGTGAAACGTTTTCCGACGGGACTGCAACCTGAGGAACGTGAAAACCCCTAAGTCGACGACTTCCCTTGGTCGACCATTTTTTCGAACGTTCACGATTTTTCGCCGACCCTCTCTCTCTTATACACACACACACACACACATACACACACACACACACACACACACACACACACGCACACACATACACATACACACACACACAATGTGCACGCGGTAGGGCGTTATGGTTTTTTTTCTTTTTTTTCGGTTTTTAATTATAATTCCCGCGACGGAGAGATCGCTTTTTACGGGCCTCTACACGTGACGCGTTATAAAGTCGACGCTGCGTGTTTAAAACGGTTTTTCAGTAACCCCTCGCCGCCCCGTTGGAAAAAAAAAAACCGCGCGATCAATTATTACATAGGTAACTATCGCCATCGTTAAATTCGGTTCGTTTTACCGGCCGGCCTGTAACCGGTGCGTTTTAAACCGAAAATGAGCAATGCGAGGCCGGCTGAAAGGAAATAAACAGATAACCGCCTTTTTTTTCCTTCAACGCTGGTTTTTTTGTTTCCATTATTCGTCCCTGTGCAGATCCAGAATATCCAAACGTCCAAACGTATTCTATATTTATGACCAAAGCTTGGGACATGTGCATTTTAAATTCACAGAAAACGGCTTAGAAACGTCAAAAGATCTTAAAAAAGCAAAAATGACAGAAGAGTTTACTATTTCCACCCCCGTTCCCCATAAAGGTTTTGAGCATTAAATTCAATTGTCTAATATTACAAAAACGATTAACGTAAATTATATTTTTTTAATAATAGATGATTACAATTTTATTTAAAACTCGTGTTAATCATTTTTGTAAGAAAATTGTATTTAAAAAGTTAGATCCGTTAGGGGGGGGGGGGGCTTTTGAAAACATACTATCATTTTTGTTTTAGATTCTGAGTGGAGCGAAGAAGCTTATAGTTTTACAAAGATGTTTATTTTTTATTTTTTTCTGTGGACAACTTTTCTACCAGAAGGCTTGCTCCGATTTTTACGTGTAATAACTTTTCTGAAAGAAAATCGGTGTAAAGAGGTACATTAAACAGGTCATATTCTGATTTTCCCAAAAGTTTTCACATCAGATTTTAAAAACCGAAAAAACGGGAAAATATATAATAAATGTAGGTATTAGTTAAAATGTATTACGGTTTTCTTTTTTTCTGTGCACAACTTTTCCACCAGCAATTTTGCTCAAACATTTAATGATAGCAATGATTCTAAAAGAAAATTTTATTAGGGAGATACTTTAAAGAAGTCACTTTTTTGATTTTCCCGAAAGTTTTCCTAGCAAATGCGAAAAACCGGGATAAAATATGGGAAAACATGTATATTGTTGACAAAGCATTACTATCAATTAAACTCCGCTTAGAATCGATTTTTCGTTAGCAATAGTTTATCGTTGCTTACAGGTTTACACTAAATTAACTTTAACAGTGGCTGTACCCGTTTCATTATCCATGTCCCTTTCGGCGATTCACGATTCCGTACAACACGATTCCCCATATACCTTTTCACAACACGATTTCGCACAAAACTAATTTTTGACGTTGCCGATTGTATTTTAAAAATATTATTTTGGTTTTAACTCAAATTCTATCTTATCTACAGTAAATATTATAGTCTACACTTAAAAATGTACATATTATCTGGACTCATCAATTACCCGTACGATTACGTCGATTACGTATATTGCGGTATTTTGTGTTTTACTCTTTATAAATTTTGTTCCGTGTAAGTTTATAAATTAAAATTAATAATTCAGAAATTTGAATTATTGTGTCAGAGAAAAATAAGGAATTAGCTGTTGTTAATGTTATAAACATAGATTTGTCGGTGTTCGTAAATGCAATAAAATTTATAGTGGCGCTGTTCTTATGACCAAAATTGCACCACGTTCATTTTATCATTTTTGACTCATTTTAATTACTATAAGGGAAAAATTGAAATAAATGTTTTAAATAATTTAATTTTTATTATTTGTTTTATTTTTTATTTATTTATATTACTATGTATATTTTTTTTATCATAAATGATAACGTCGCAACCATTTTTATACGGAATCGTATTACATTACGGTCAAATTAAAAAAAATCGTTTTTATTATAAAAATATGCGGAATCGTGTGTCGCCCGTCTCATTATTAACTATCGAACCCATTTGATTTGTTTTTTTAAACGGTTTTTTTCATCTCAATAACATTAACTTTATTATAAACTGCGTTTATATTCTTCCTAATAGTCCGACCTCATTATATAAATCTTATATGACTTCTATTTAATCCGTTATCTTTAAAGAACTTAATAAGTCATTCATTTTATGTGCTGACTTTAATCTCCTTGATATATGTTGGTTTAACGACGCATCCGGTCTATCCTATAACTCACGGTCCAATCACATTATGATTGACTCGTTTGCTTTCCTTAACTTCTTTCTACTGAATAACATTCATAACTACTGTGGTAAACTACATGATCTGATTTAAGATTCTGAGTGGAGCTAAGAAGCTTATGATTTTACAAAGATGTGTATTAATTATTATTTATTTTTTTTTCGGACAA